TCGGCATTGACAAAATCACCATCAGTCAATTGCAGAAGGCAGCTTTACTTGGAACAGCTTATATCCTGCAACGATACCTTTAACAAGCGACAACTTCTGCCTAGGGAAGGACTCAATAGGTGGATAAAAATGCCAAATCCAGTCTAAACATCTGGCTGACTGTGCGACCAACCAATAATAATAATAACAACAATAATAATAATTCACAATGAATAGGATAACAGCAAGCAGGGAAGAGAATGCATCTTCAGATGCTTTCACTGTGATCTAAATCAGTGTTTCTCAACCTCAGCAAATTTAAGATACGTGGATTTCAACTCTGAGAATTCCCTAGCCAGCAAGCTAAAATCCATAGGAACTGGGGTACAGTAATCCAACCCTTTCAGAGCTAGTATGGTGGGAGAGAGTGCCAAAATGCAGCTCAGATTTAGAATGTCCTAAAAAAGGCTCTGCAGGCACACCTTAATGTCTGATGCACAGACGCTCTGATGAAGACATATAACTTTTAAGAAAGTAGATTTATTTTTGTCTCTGAGAATATATTTTTCAATTTTCTATGAACAGAAATTCCAAAAAAAAAAAAATCAGTAAGCTTACTTTATGAATAATTCACTTAGTATTCATAAAACATTTCCTCCCAAGTTTTAAAGCATTCCATATACAGTATCTCATTTACAACCGCACTAAAGCCGGGTGGAGGGACCACAGCTCAGTAGCAGAGCATATGTTTTACAAGAAAAGAGCCTCAGGTTCATGAGACAGGGAAAGAACCACAAAAATTCATCAAACCATCCAATTTATTCCCTAAACATGTGACTGGAACATCTTGACAAGTGTGAGGAAAATGGGTATTAGGCTACCTCCAGAATCAGAGATAACATGCCTCTGAATTCAGTGGCTGAAGAATAGCTTGAGGACAAGACTCCCTTAATATTTGGTGGTGGAGTCCTTTTAAGCCCCTACACAGACTATCAGAATGCCAGTATATGGTCTGTTCCATCATTGCTCTTCTTAAGACAAAGTAGGTAACACCAAGCTAGATGGACAGAAATCTGACCTGTTAGAAGGCAGAGTCTTGGGAATACTCCCCCAAAAGGATCTCCAGGTGGCAACAGATACTAAGGAGACCATTTTTTTCTTGCCTGTCTGCAGGAATCCGAGCAGTGCCGAAGAAGCCCCTCCTCTGGGCTCGAGTGGCAGTCATCACTCGCAGAGGTCCTATCCGCTGGCCAAGAGCCCAGAATGTTATATATTCATACTGATCCAAATTCACTGTCACCTGAAGAAAGGAAGTCAGAGCTGACATGAAAATGCAATTATTAGGGACTCCCCCTTTCTGAACATCACAAGATGATGGGAAACAAGCCATCTATTTCTGCACTACAGGTGAAGCCAGCTGTCAATACTTGTTACCTGCTCAAGCTTGCTTATCTGTGGGTTTCCCCAGGTAAGTTTTGAAAGAGTGTTACAGTACTGTCATGTGAATCAAGCTGCATGTCAAAATCCAGTATTTTCCCAAGCTGCTGATCAGAGAGACTGGTTTTGAAAGATTCTTCCACTGTAGCCGGCTACCTCCCATAGCACCTGTCAAGCAGCCTCTGGGAAGTGGCAAGTACAGTAGCTTTCAAATTCACTACCTCCATGAAACAGCTGTCTGGCAACTCATAGCTGGTCTGTAAACTCCAGAAAGGGATGCTACAACAGGCAAATCTAGTTTGAAAGGGATGGATTTTCCTACTCTCCAAAACACTATGGCATTATGGCCATGGTGAAGTGCACCCAGGGATCTGAGAGGAAAGGCCAGGCATAGCCCCAGCCTGAAGTGACCAATAGTTTCAGGTTGATCCCAACCTCAATGGGTCACCTGACTGCCTCTAGGGTAATGGGGAGCAAAGTGTAACAAATTTTATATACCTTGCAGCTGCTGTTGGATACTGCTGGCTTAAGGCTGAAAACACCACTTTAGCACTGGAACATCTAAGGACAAGTTAAGGCTGTCTCAGTTATGGGTTGTGAAGAAGATAAAGGTAACTGCATGGGTAAATGCCCCTCCCAAAGACAAAACCCCAAGATGCCAAGGCATATCTATCACATGCTTGGATGCTAGTGGGGCAAGACCCTACATCTGTAATGGGAATTCCATGCCTAATGTAAATAATTTGGCTTTTGGTTTGCTCTTTAATTTTTCATAAAATTTCATATTTTTTCTAACAAATACAAAACAAATGCAAAAATAAAGAAATCAAAGTGTACCAAAAGGATAGGCAAATTGTGAACTGAATGAGATCCCCAAAAGCTTTTTTTGGTGGCCTTCAGAAGTCATACTATCAACCTTTGGAAGCAAACTATCAAGATACATGATTTACTGCTTTTTTTTCAGCAGAAAACAACTTCTTAATAAAATGTGTAAGTCTTCCTTTAGGTTTAATACCATTCAGCTACCTGTCTGGTGGTGTTACTGCCTTGGCAGTAAATAAAACTATGGTCCCTAGCAGCCAACAGATAGCCTGTCACTAACCAAAAAGAACCACAGTAAATAATGTTGTATGCATAAACATTCAAAACATATTTATTTTCTTAGTCGGTTAATGCTACTGTTCTGGCTTTTGTGCTCTATATTGATTGTTTTAATTTCTTAATGGATATTAGCAATGTTTTACCATGTCTTGTAAGACACCCAGAGCTGTAAAGATAATGGGGAGCATATAATTTTCTAAATAATAAAGGAGCTATATGTTAATTATGAATAAGGTACATCAAAGAGACCACTTCAGATAGCGCTATATGCTAAAAGACAAATCTATGGTGAATAAGGCTAAACTTTTCATATATTCCCTTCAGCATCAGATATGCCTCTTAATATGATTATCTATAATTATTATGCTTGTTGAGGAACACAAATAAATTGTCATATTCATGTTCTGCTGATGGCTGTTTCATTGGCACCAGGCTAGCTACAATGGAAAGAGAATGTGTGTCTTAGTAGCCTTCAAAAGGTATGCTGCTGGATCAGATCCAAGTAAAGCAAAGCAAAAGGCTGAGTAATACTGAGAAGTTTTGAAATTTTTATTTGTGGGCTTGGAGAGATCCAAGGCCTCCCAAAGAAATTCCAGGATTTTGTTCCACCCATATATTTTGCCTTTGTGGGTAATCTCATCTCTTCAGCCTAAAAAATCCCAGTTCACTAAACTTTAAAAGAGGGGGAAAGGGGTAGAATTTGAATTTTAGTTGTAAGAGTCTCAAAAGACAAACATGATGGAAAGTGGTGGGCTTGGCTCGAGAGAATGAGACTCGAAAACTTTTCCATTTCACATTGCAGGCAGGGAAATCGCACATTAAAATGATCCTCGCAAACGTGAGGGTAAGAAGAGAACCTGACTAACTGAGATTACAAAGGGTTTGTCAGGGGAAATCTACAAGGGTTATCTGTATTTAAAATGTCAGTCTGTTCTAGCATTTCAGGACTGCTTCATCCTATCCCCTTCTCTTTCACATATAACACAGACAGGACACCTGGAGGAAAAAGGTGGGGTGGGGATGAACCTTTTTGCAGGCCACACCTGGACTTCATCATGAGGGTGATTGACAATTAGTGCATAAGCCAGTGCTTCTTTTGACAGCTTGTTGAAGTTGGCCTGATCCAGTAGTGGTTCCATCCTGGCCAAAACATCCTGTTCTTTTGTTAACCGTTCAGCATCTGTCAAATAGAACTCCTGAAGTGTGTCCCGGTCAGGATTAATAGGTGTATAGAGTGTCTAGAAGGGGAAGGCATAAGTGGGAGTATTAATGCAATTAGTATTAATATAGCATCCTTGTTCTATCCCCGGTCACCATGGGCAATTTATTATCTAAATCATCAAAATCAACAAGAAGAAATTTCATGCAAGTGGGCGAAGAAGCAGGTGTAGAAGAAATGGATTATTCCATCTTTTCTCCACCAGTTATTTAGTTTCCATGCTGAATGGGCAGAAAGTGCAGATTTTTCTTCACCAACAATAGGAATGCAACATTTCACTGACACTCATCCAGTAAATACAGTATTGTAGGAGGAGACCCATGTTAGTCTGTGGTGGTAAAAAAATCAGAAGTTTGGCAGCACTTTTCTGACTAACACATATTTAAAGACATAAACTTTAATAAAATGTGTTAGCTGGAAAAGGTGCTACCACACTCCTCCTGATTTTTCATTCAGTAAATGTGTACTAGAGGACAGAGCAAATATGCTGGCCACAGTTTATCATTCCATCTCCTTGGGGGTCAGTATCTTAGCAACCTTTGCTCAGACAAGCAAGCAAGCAAGCAAATAAATGTCAGTCTTGATTCCTGGTCAAGACTGGAATCATAACATGCAGAATGCAGTACTGCTAATTTTCCCCAGCCCTTTTATTTTCAAAACAAAGTCCCCACAGAGGGTGAAAGCTAAGGGGAGATCTTGTAGGAGCAGCTGCAGACATTCCTGCACCCTATTTTCCTGGGTGACCAGTGGCCTCATAATGTATCAGCTAGCTATTGGCCTTGATTCAGACAACATGCTGGATCATTTTTTAAAAATACACTAACCTACTACAAGCCATGGCTATAGTTTGTGACAGACGAATGCCTTTACTACAATCTGACCCACGCTCAGGGTTGATACAAGTTGCCACAACATCATATTTATAACAAGAAGATAGAGAAGGGAGGATGGATCGCTCAATTTCTCCATCCCTTTGCATTTCTATATTAATTTTAAGAAAAAGGAAACCTCTACCTGTTCTTAGTAGGGAAGCCAAGCAGCCCAACCAAAGAGGGACATAATGACCCATATTTCCTCTGCCACCCCACTTGGTAGGATCTATTTTTATTTAGGAACATGCTAAAAGGCTAGGCTTTTTAAAAAATACAGGCAAATATTTTGGGGGGCCTCAGTAATGCTAAACACCCTTACTAACCGTTGTTGTCCTCCCTCGTCATCTTCTACATAGACAGGAATAATTTTTATAAATACAGGGCCTGCAAAGACAGAGTTTGCAAATACCTTTAACTGCTCCAGGACAGAGTAGTAATGGGGTACAAGTGACGAGTCCACTTGAGACACAAACTGCAAGAATGAGAGGCGTTCTTCGCGATTAGAAGAGTGGAACTCCTGAGAAAGGAGAAAAAGGTGACCCAGCTCAGCCCTAAAACGGCCATAAGCAAGCAGTCTGTTTAATGAGGCATTCCTTGGGCAGTACCAAAATAAATATAACTGTTTACTCAGTTCTGGGGCACTGTCATCTCTGTGGCAGTGAATTAATGGCCTATCCTCTTGCTGCAGCACTATCATCCTTAAGTTTTTCCATTTATTTCAAGCAACTTCTCTTTAATACAGCTTCAGATTGGTTTGATATAAATTCTTTTTACATAAATACATGGTTGTTGTAATAATAATAATAATAATAATAATAATAATAATAAACACATAATGCAATAATACCCACAGTATGAATGTTGCAGTTATAGCTCCTGAGAAATTCCTCTTTCCCCAATTCAAGAGTAGTCTACAATGGTAAGTAGCCTAAATTCTTCCATTTGCATGTTTGAATCTTCACTGAGGTATTGGCATCTGCTTAGAGTTCAGCCTCGGCAGATGAATTTTTGGATAACAGATCAGCCAGCCGACTTTTCTAGTAATTAATGTATCTTGGAATATTTGTGTACAGTACCAGATTATGAGTTTCTATCTATTAGAGAAGGGAGGATTGTTCAGTAACAGAATACATGCTTTGCATGTAGAAAGTCCAGTTTCAAAATCTGGTTCTATCCAATTAAAAGGAGTACAAAAAGAATAGTAAATAGATTTCTGTTTGATATTCTTGAAACTATAGCAGATTAGGATAGATATATAATCAGACTTGACATAAGGCAATTTTCTAAAGCCATATATTTTAACAGATTTAATAGCAACCTGCATCTCAAACATCTTTATAGCAATAATGAAATTATTCATCTATGATATGCTTTGTGTCTCCATCAATGAGAAAAAAAATAGAAACTTTTATAGACAGACTTCAGATTTCCAGTCCTTGCTTTTATGTTTCTCCACCTTTCTACTCTCGACTATAGCAGGAGTTGTCAACAAGGAATAACATCTGGCAACAAAGAAATCCTGGACAGGAAAGCAAAAAATCCAATTTCTAGAAGTTTCATACATCATTATCAAGGTGGATAAATATATATGGCAGGATCATTATGCTTAATATTAACATTTGTTCCCTATGGGAAATAAGCATTATAATTTAGCACTAATCCAGGTCCAAACTGCAAAGGGCTTAATACTCTGAGTGTAATCCCTATCTGCCTGGTAGTAAAGTTACTTCAGGATAATTCACTTCATATCCTCCAAATCAGTGCTGTCCAGTGTTCTCCAGACCTTAAGGACAACTTGCATAATCTGTGGTCAGTATCTGGACTGCTTCTGTTTGGTAAAGGCCATTCTACCTTTCTGGAGTGATTCTAATATGAGCATTCCCAAGTTAAATGACCAAAGTATATTTTGTGATATGACTCTGTACACCAAACAATCAAAGCAGACGTAAAATGCTTCCAGGGTAAAATTATGACACTGCTATTCCTCAACCATCAAGGAATTTAGATAGCTAGCAATTGTAGCTAGAATTCCTCTTTCATCCCTTTTTACATCTCCTTCTCCTTCCTACAAAAGCTTGTAATTTGTCATCCCTTTCATCTTTTTCATGTCATGCCACTCATCATACATAGGATAGCTGCCTTCTCTTCCTCTCCATATGCTATGCTATGCTTTTCCTCCATTTCTTTGCTTTTCATTTGTTTGGCAAAATTTAAACCGTTTCCTCTACTTTTCAGCTTTTACAAGGTCAGCACTTAGCTTCAAAGAGCGTTTTCACCCATGTAGTTCATCCCATCTGGGCAAGATTTTAAGATCAGCTTAATTCATGCTCCATATGTTCAGGAGAGACTCTGCTTAACAGGCAAGGGGGCTGCCTCCAGAGCTCTGATATACTAAAGCAAGCACCGACTGGGCCAAAAGGAACTAACTTTTGCAATCTGAGCGAATCGTGCACATCAAGTAAACTGGCATACAATATATTATAACATTTCTCACTATTGCTGCTTGTGTTGTCAATGAGAAGGGGCAAGGCATTTTGCTTGCTTCTGAGATTTTACCAAGCGCTATCCTCCACACTCCAAAATTTGTTTTTGCCATTTTGAGGCACTGAAAAATTGTGAAAGCTGAGGGATGATTCTGAATTTCGTGCAATGCATTCAAGGGATGGCAGAACTGACACAGAAGCCTACTTTTACCTTTACTAGGGCATCAACAAGTTGGTTCTTGGAAAACGGGATGTATTTCTCTTGATAATCCAGTGCCCAGTTCTGTGGTTCTGTTGGTTTCCACATCTTCCGATATTTCGCCATCGTGGCAGCAAGGGAAGACTTGCCACGCAAAGACAACCCTAAAATCCTGGTCCCCAGGGCAAATCGTGTCATACTCAGCATTCTGGGAGAGTTCAAAGCTTAATAGTTTAAAAATGGTAGCACAGGCATACCCATCTTCCTTTGCTAAGTTTCCTCAAACTGACGTTATTTTGCAAACTGGAAGACACAGGCTGCTTGAAGAGCTGTGGCAGGCACCCTTTGAAGCAGCAAATTTAGGAGGCTTTGAGAAATCATGGAGAGCAAATTGACCTTTTGATAAGCTGCAAGTAAAGAATGCTCAGCTAAACACGGAGGTACCATGCACAAATGACAAGATACCTTCCCCACCACCACCACCCCGCAATTGCATGTGAAATCAGGCTCGCAATCAGGACAAAACAATACGTGTTAAAAGTCACTGATTAAAAAAAAAAATCAAGCGAATTGTTGAAATTAAACGCGCCCACCAACTTACAAACTAAGCAGGTTATTTTTTTTTTCCTCTTCACACACAATTCAGACCAAAAAAAAGTCCATTATTGGAGCAACGAGCTCTGACCTTTAAAAAGAAGCCTGACATTGAGTTTGGCGGCACATGCGCACAATGTTTCTCCCTTCCACCCTCATTCTAATCCTTTCAGCTATTCCCAGAATCTTCACATTGCGTTATGCGCTTGCGCAGTGGCTTATATCGATCGCCGCGGGTTCAGATGAGCCTATCAACTAGAGATAGAAAATTTAGAAGAGCCACCCGCATGGGAGAAACTGAAAACGTTACTTGTTTCTATTTAAGAGAAGCTGTGTTTGTTCTATAGCTTTTTCCTTTCCTGTCTCTAATACCAACCCACTAGGCGTGTGCAACAATCAAAAGAATTCCACACCATCGGAAATTCTCCCCATTCCATTCGAGTTTTTCCAAGATGCGCATGCGCACAGCATCCTAGTGCCCCATTTTCGGACGGGCGTTCCAACTAAGACTGCAGTTTCCCCTCCGCACATGCGGGGTTCTGTAGGATCCTCGCGGGCATCATTCTAAGTCCAACACCCTCAACAGTCATTTCCAACTGCCCTGCTGAACGCTCCAGCGTTCGAAAAGAGGGAATGGCAGCTGTCCCGGCCACTCAGGCTTCGAGTTCTCTCACACGCTGTTATCTCTTTCCACCCCCCTCCGCGCGGGGGGAGGGAACATGACAAGAGATCGAAAAGGCGGGAAAAAAACTCCACTCCCTCACTTTCCCCAAGGGGTAAGTGAGGAAGGATGTCGCTTCCAAAATGTTTCAAAAGGATAAGGAAAATGTAGAGCGCTAAGTCCTCCATTTCTGAGTAGGCTTTACCATGCAGTCCCTCACAATGTTTATATTTGGGCTTCTTAGCTTTCTCCAACCTGCCACTTTCCAGATGTGTTGGACTTCCACATTCATAATGTGTAGACAGTGAAGTAGGGATTATGTGAAGCCAACTCCAGGCTGAGGAAAGAAGACTAAGTTAAAAATAAGGGACACAGGTTGGGTTCTTCGTTACAATATTTTCCACAAGGCAAAGAATATATATAGCCATAGTTGAATATTGAGGAACATAAAGCAGGAGTATAATTACCACGAAGAAGCAATTTACTTCAACATATTATATTTTAGATTGCTCTTTCTCAAGAAATAAGGGGCCACAAGCACATCCTTTTCCCTCATCTTATTCTAACAACAGTTCAGAAACTGCCTATTTCAAAATTGCCCAGTAAGTCTGGCTGAGCAGAGATTTCACTGCAGATCTTCTTGCTTTTAAACCTAAACACTGTAACCATTATTCTTCAATGGTTCTAAGTTGGAAAAGGGATCAAAGGAACATGTTTAGGGTTGCATTTACCCATGGAATTTAAAATATAGATCAATGTCTTATTTGCTGTAGAGAAATAAATATGTACAACCAAATAGGTAAGTGTATTCCTTTGAAGGGAATAACTCAACAAATACTGAATACTAAAACTTTTTTGCACATAATTTTTTTCAGATAAACTAGTTAGATTCACAACACTTATCATGAAATTAGATTCTGAGAACAAAGGGAAAAGGCATACTAAATAACACATTTTGAGCAGTGTTTGAATTTTCATGCTTCTCAGTAGTTGGGTGTGCTAGCTAATAAGTTAGTCCTCTTTCCCCCTAAGAAACAAAGTATGAACTGGGAAATGATACTCAACACTATGCACTCAAAGAATGCATGAACACTCAATGGTCAAGGCTCTGGAGCATATCTTGGAGTGATGGTAACAAAGGTATATTGTCTAAATAGGATTATGTTATAAAAGTCACATATCAGAATGATGGCTGTCACTCACTAAATGCTGCTAGTTCATTTTTTGTGCAACTGAAAGAACATTTCTTAACTAAAAGCCACATTATCTTAAAAGATAATGAAAATTCTAAACATTGCTTCTAATATTTCATAATCACAGTTTTGTTGACTTTCTTTCACATGCTTGGTAGGTGGATTAGAGGCCAGCAGACTGTGCGCTAGGGCAGGAACAGAGTTCTGAAAAAACAACTCTATACTTTCTTTAAATATTCAGTGTTGGTAGGTAGAATCCTAGCAATATTTGCATTACCTTCTTCAAATCTAGATAACGTTTCCCAACTTCAATTTACAGCAACCTTCAAGATCCAGCTTTGTTCTAATGACAAAAAGACAACTACAGGATGAGAAAAACGGTTTCAATCTTGCGGGACCTATCAGACCATGACATGGTGCATTTCTTCATACAACCTCAGATTGTTGCTAGAACACTAGCAGGGGTGAGACAAGATAATAGTACTAAATGATGGGTTCTTGACTTCTATATTCAGGATCGCATATAGTCTCTGATGCAGTTTTAACTTCAGAATTCCTTCACAATGTTTTAAAATATTACATAGGAATCAAATGTCAAAGAGATACTACCACAACACATTATCAGGATAAGTTATGCTATATCAGAAATAACCACAATATTTTTATTCTCAAATATGATCCAATCCTGGACTTTATAAACAATTGTCTTTATAAAGCTGACCTGCCAGAAGCCATGAAATTCTAGTGTTCCTAGAATTTGTGCCCACATTCCTCATTTCCTTGTTTATAGACCAAATTCTATTATCTGAATCAGAATTACATATATCTGACTATATCTGCCATACCATTTTCACTTATTGTAATCATTTTGTATACAAACTTGTGCTACTTGTAAAAAAATAAGGTTTGTTATTTTGGTTTTTAACTAGGATCCAGCTATTAAGTTCAAAGCAACATACTATGATTTGAATAAGATTCATGTCTGCTGAAATCTCTTAAATATAGCAAACATTTAAAGAGCAGGATGTCAACAAAATTCCTGATCAAATCTGTGGAGACCTTCAAGGCATGTGAGCTGCATGCAGTTAGTCTGTCCTTGAGGGACTTGAATATGGCTCAGCATGGGCTCAAGTCCCCAGATTTCATGAATTTCCACATAACTTTTTGTTGAGCTGATTGGAGTGGATTGTCTTGGGGAGGAGATAGGATAATTCTTGTCATGTGCCTCCCTTTCCATAAGGAACTCAGGTCAGCATATGAATAGCACCTTGGTGGACTGCCTGGAAAATTATTCTCCGCCATTGTATTGTCGAAGGCTTTCACGGCCGGAATACGATGGCT